GGGAACTGCAAGTTGATGCTGGATTTTGTTGAGGATGAATGTGGAAAATAACAGGGCGAGGGGCGCAATATATCTCATTAGGCTCGAGAAATGGGCAAGTGACAGCAAGTCTTTTTGTCTGCCTGAAAAACGGGGACACCGGAGCACAGAATTGATGATGGATGGTTTGGATCTTTCCTAGGAGAATCTGGCTATGGTGTGGTTAAACCTGCCAGGCTTCGTGATCTCCAGCAACAGAAGATGCTGATGTTAGCAACAAGCATGCTGCTACAACTCCTCAAAAAAGGTCCATGTTTACGCCCGGCTATTCCATGTTCGGCAAGCAAGGCTTAGCTGTGGGTCCCATGCTGGGGTCATATTCCAATGATGATACGCCCCATGGCCCCACCAGCCACAGGCCAAACTCCATGTGGCCAGGGCCTTGATCATGAACCCTGAGATCTTGATCTTAGAGAAGCCCCTGATGAAGCTTGCCAGCTACATCCAGCTACCCTCTGGTAAACGTTTAATTACAGATGTTTACAGTTTGCTAGCGAAGCCATGGCACATAGAAATAGTATGAAATATGTTGATTTACCTAAAGATGGTGATTTTCCATAGCAAACTGTTATTACCAGAGGTTAATGTGTCTTGCAGCTGATGCGTGTCATTGCAGAGTAGAACCGATGAACTATGATGCCATTGAGCCATATTGAATAATTTGAGCCCACAAAAAAATTGGGAATACCAGCTTTCCCCATGTCTGGTATATTCCAAAGATCATGGGCACACACACACTGCAGATTTCTTAGGGTTTCAACTATCTATATGTTTAAACGCTTAGATCCTCATCCTCACCCTCCATCATCCGCATCCGGTAATTGTAGCCCTGGAAGATCCCCCATACTGTAACTGGCTATTCGAATTGGAACGTGATTGAGAAAAATTGTCATGTTCCAGCCCCGTGACCGATGAACCGAGGAATATCTCTAATATCCCAGAATCATATCTATAGTTGCCAAAAAATGGTGTTTTAGTTGGGTTTTCATCTCTTTCTTGGGGGATCGCTATGGTGATCCACCGCCGCCGATAGTTAAATCCCCCATTTTGCAGATGATTTCTCAGCCATGGGGCTACACCTGAGGGGGATCCATCCATTCGTCACCATTGCTTATAATCCATCAATTCCCCATGAATAATCCATGATTCCTGGCTAAATCCTCCATTAGTTCAATGATGTTCTTTTTTTAACAGTCCTTCATCCATTCATATCATGATCTCCCCATTTTTACCCCTCATGTTTCGAGGAATTTGGACGAGGCCGAGTCAGAGCTGGTCATGACGATGCTTCGGGAGTTCGTATCCAACCGGGGCGTGGCGATGCCGACGTCCAGCCGTGAGCTGCGACGGCCGCGGACCTGTTTCTTCACGGCGGAGCGGCCGACGACAACGTCGGTGGATGCGGTCTGGGAGTTCGAGAACGGTGGGGAGCGGGGGAAAACGGGGGGAGGAACTGGGCGATGTTTGGATGTACATGTACATCTAATTTACATATATCACATAAATATATATATATATATGTATATATATATATATATTTCTCGCTCTCTCTCTCTCTCTATATATATATATGCATCTGTGTATACATGGGGATATGAGAGATATGGACGTAGATGTAAATAACTACAAATATCAAACTTGCCCAAAGAAATGCATATATAAGATCCTACAAGATCAAATAACTATTTATATATATATATACAGTATATATATATATGCATATACACTGTGTCTTTGGCATTATGAGGGAGGTTGGCCTTGATTGACAGGTCGATGTGTGGAACTCAGCGCTGAAGAACTCAAGGATTCCAAGAAGCCTGGATTTCTTGCAGGTCGTTGATGGTTTTCCCCAGTCAGTTGGTTGGATCGAAGTGCTCTGAATATGTTTGGTATGTCTGTACATATTATATGTATATGTATGTATCATAAACGTATCATTTTAGTCGATGCATGTATATATATATAATTATATATATGTATCGGTATATATATACTTAATACGTATGATGTTTTGGGGACATGTTTTTGGTGCCGGGCATCTGAGAGGCTCGCGACTGTTGTCATTTTTTGCGTTCTACTATTTAAATAACATTGTGTGGGGGGTGGGCGGGTTGGGGTGGGATAATAACGTCATTTGCACTTCCACGCATATGTGATGCAATATATCTGTACGCTCTCTTGCATTTCATTCACATCTACACATACGTCATGCTACGCTGTAGGTTCTCTTGCGCTTCCTCACATACGTCATGCTACGCTGTGGGTACTCTTGCACTTCTACACATGCGTCATGCTACGCTGTAGATTTTCTTGCACTTCCACACTTTCGTCACGCTACATTGTAGGTACTCTTGCATTTCCACACATGTGTCATGCTACGCTGCTGTAGATTCTCTTGCAGTTCCACACATACATCATGCTACGCTGCTGTAGGTTCTCTTGCGCTCCCACACATACGTCATGCTACGCTGTAAGTTCTCTTGCACTTCTACACATGCGTCATGCTACGCTGTAGGTTCTCTTGCACTTCCACACATGCGTCATGCTACGCTGTAGGTACCCTTGCACTTCTACACATGCGTCATTCTACGCTGCTGTATGTTCTCACCGTTTTTTGATGATGCTGATGATCATGATCATGATAATAATGATAATAATAATGATAAACAAATAATGATGATGATGATGATGTTGATATTGCTGACGATACTAAAGTTTCGTTTTTGAGCCTTTTCAATTCCCCCCTAGAAAATGTTTGAAAAGTGACGACAGTCGCGAGCCTTTCAGATGCCCGGCACCATGTTTTTCTTCATCTCGTTTCATTGTGTGGCCACAGAAACTCAGGAAGTCTGCCGACTCTGAGATGGTCTCCACTCGCATCTCCAAGGCGCTTTCCCTGCAGCTTGGGCTATGGAGGTGGTCCATTGGTAACCCTCCGTTGTCCCCATGGCCATGGAGTTCATGGGAATATCATGGGATTATATTGGGAAATTAAAACAGCAATACCCGATGATTTTGCTGGAGAATCAATGGGTAATTAGTTTCTGAATGGTGAATTTATGGTGGATTTAACCAAGAATAATGGAATATGTACATATTACATACAGTATAACCATAATATATATATGTATATATATATAATAGTTATATGGATAAATCATGGATGATCATTATTGGTAGATACAATCTGGTGTCATCAAACGCAGCTGCCTGGGAAATCCCCAAACTATATAGATGGAGGTTTTTTTAGCTCGGAAAATCATTGAAAAAATGGTGGATTTCCCAGCACGCCATGTTTGAGGACACCGGAGGGTAATCAAGGCCACATCCCTTTGTATCCTGGTTACAACAGATTATAACATTATAACCTATTTGAATACCCATTTGTGAGCAGAAAAAAATAACATGGCCCATTTGTTTAAGCTCTGATTTGGTTGTCAAGATGACGTCGTTGCATGAATAGGCCTGTTCCGAAAAATATGTGGTTTCCAGAGGGGTCATCATATGAACTATTATATAGTTAGGGGTTGCCATTGAGGTATTTTCATGTAGGAGATGTCCAACCCACTGACCCTTTTTCCTGCTGAGGAATATCGTTTCCTGAAGGTCACAGTTTCACCTGAGTCATCGGAGTCATTTTCTTATCTGGTTTGAACTGAGCCGGGACTGGCCAAAGAAGTCGGTACGGAGGGAAGTTTTGACACAACTCCAGCACCATCAAAGAAAGCAACATCAAGAAAGAAAAACTCACTTTTTGAAGCTGGTTTCTTGTTTAGCACTGTTTAGCAGATGGGGCTAAAGTAGTCTCAATTTGGGCTTATTTTGATTAATAATTGTGGACCCTGCTGTATCCTTAAACTGTCATCCAAAATCTGAACGCTGGAGTTATTATGATATGCGTTTTCTTGTCAGCACCCACGCTTTGAAAAGACTGCCTGCAGAACAAACTGCATGCAAAGTGTAAAATTCCATACCGCATCTTTGAGAAAACTGCAAGGTGTGCGGAAAGCTTCATTGCCTAGGGTTTTCACAGCAACTATGCAGAAGGATTGTTGAAGAGCCGCTTGAAATCTCGCCTCAAAGTTGGGTGATGCAAGCACATGAGTCTGGCAAAACGTTCGTCCTCGACATCAGTTCCGTGGTCGAAGAGTAAGATTATGTGAGATTGCAATTCTTATCTCTTCTGTAACTACTGGTAAGTATCTGCAACTGTTTTTACACCGAGCAGGTAATTTGTTCCATTTGTTGTCAGCTGCTGCAGTCCGATCACTCCCCAATCAACAATTTGAGGTGCGGTTTGTCTCATTTTTGAAGATGTTTCATCTAAAAAACTCCACATCGCATTGTGAGGCGTTTGTATATTCGACTCAAACTGGTTAAAACCAGAGTTCTTAAGGCACGAGTTCACGGTTCAAGTATTCGATCCACTAGCCATGTCACCTATTTGACACTTATGTTTTTCAAGTTTTGGGAAACCACGAGAAAACCAACCTGGAAACAAGCATGGAACCCAAAGTGGTGGCATTGTCCACTATTGGTTGGTGGTAAAACATGGGGTTGGACAATTATGCTACCAAGTGGGGACCTCCAGTTGTAATCTCGCCTATAAACCCATTCAACTGTGAAGATATCCACCGTACGTCCTAGTCATTGTAGGTATAAACCAACTTACCTATATTAGGTGCTGCTCCACATTGTAAGTTGTTTTTTCGTGCTGTATTAGGGATTCTGGATGATTCCGGACTATATGTGACCGACCCACACGTCACACATACATGGCTTTCATGTGTTGAATGTGCTACATGCTTTCAACAGTTAATCCCCAGTTTTGGTGAAGATTGTTCTGGGTATATTATAACGACCTCAGATTGGTGAATTATTACAATTTATCCGGAATGTATTTCTCCTTGCACTTCTTGGTGTTTCTGTTGTTTCAGCTTGGCTGTCAGCCAATTTGTTAGGTGCCCGACGCTCCGGACGCTCCGGACGCTCCGCATCCTCTGCCAGCGCGCTGGAAACAGCAGCCGCAGCCACGCCGCAAGTGCCGAGATATCACGAGAAATGGGTGGGTAGCTTTGGGATTCCCATTGGGATATACCATTGGGATATACCATTGGGATATACCATGGGTTTACTATTGGGATCTATTGGGTTTGCTATACACGAGTTTAAAGCAACTTGCTGCTTAAATAGCTCGGGTTCGTGGCATTCTGGTGTGCATTCACATGTTCATTTGCCTCTTTCTTGCGTTGTCAGTAGAATCCTTCTGTTTATTAGAAAATTGTAAAGATGTATAAAGCTTCTTGTTGGTCAAGTTGGCTACGCATACCTCCCGATGTGGTAGATCGTTGCTTTCACTTTGGGTAGTTTGATCAAGGAAGTTCAAATATGCTGGAACCATCCTCCATTGTGGCTGTTTGGTCCCACCAAGTGGGTTTCCAAGTGCCATGTTCGATGAAATAAGGTGATTGTCCTGTATTTAGTGGTTTCAAAATTTCAAAAGCATCTCTTTCCCATCAACGACATGTAATCCCTTGAAGCCAACCATCATTTTTGCATATTTTTGCAGCAACTTCCCCAAGTCCCCAAGCTGCTGGCGTTGGCTCCAGTGCAGCCCCTTGACGTTGTGCGCCATGGGCGTTTGTAGTGGAAAGGCGGCGCAAAGCAAGAGCCGTGAGGTGAAACCGAAGGAATTGAAACATGGCTACCTGTAACTTTGTCATTGAATCAGCAACAGCATGGTGAGTTCACTTCCGGTGGTGTTACATGTCAGTCACTTAGCACGGCCGTGTGTGGCTTTTCATCCCAAGGGAACCCTTTGGCCAGTTTCCAAAAGGAAAACCAAGGCTACAGTCTTTTCTAGGCACTTAAGCCGGTGCCAACCCTGCGCTGTGCCATTGGCGGCACGACTACTTCGACTGCGTGGTGTCGAAAACAACTTGCTGGACATTGCTACGTTTGAAACTTGTGCAACAGCTGGTGTGTCAGCAAACCCCCGAAGTTTTGGTGCTGCCAGTGTCTCAGCGACACTGGTAGCGGAGCTACCTGCGAGAAGCCTTTGAGCTGGAGCAGTACGCTCTGGGAACCTTTGGTGTGCCCTCAGTGCGCGAGCCCTGCAGATTGCTGAGATTTTGATCTTGCTGCTGCAATCACTGCTTGAGTCTTGAAGAATAACTGAGTGGTGATGGCTGAGAAGGAGAAAGACTTGAGATGCAGCTGGGACGGAGATCTGGCAACATTCCCAGACTATGTCCGCAGAGTGCGGTTAGCCTTTGAGAAGACCCGGAGAAGGAAGAGGAAGCACTTGGGTCCGGAGTTGGTGGGCCAATTGAGTGGACGCGCATGGACGATCACTCAAGAGATCGACCACCAACGCTTGGTCCAGAATGATGGTGCGAAGTACTTGGTGGAGTACCTTGAAGATCGCCTAGCACGTGTTCCTGTTCCAGACGCTGGAGCTCGTGCTGAAGAACTTCTAGTGAAGTTGAGGCGTCCGGTTGGGATGTCTATGGCTTCATGGTGCGCTACGGTGAGGGAAAGCTACAGAAAGTTGCAGAGGGCGCTGAAACGTGCTCGTCCTTCCTCACCGAGCCCTACACCGAGTCCTGAGACTGGTGGAAAGACACCGTCTGTGTCGCCTGAACCGACTTCACCGAGGTCTGCAACTCCTGAAGATGCTTCTCCTGGACGTGGATCCGCTCACTCCAGGGAATCCAGAAAGACTTCAAAAGCGACTGTGCCTGAACCTGGCCCTCCTGCCGATGCTCCTGGCGATCCACTTGGTTCAGTCAAAGAAGAAGAAGCCTCAGAAGATGATGGACAAGAACGTTTTGGAGAAGGCTTTGCAAAAGGTTATGCGAAGGGGAGAGACACCTCACCTCGACCTGGAAAGCCTTCTAAAAGGCGTGCAGATGACTCAGGCTCTTCAAGTGATGAGAGCGCTTGGCCTGGGCGCATGTGGGAAGAGATGGACAGTGGACTCCCAGAAGTCCTACCTTCGGAGCTGCTAGGGTGGCTGATGCTGCGGAGGTGCAATTTGACCTCGCAGCAAAGGCTTAACATCCTGAGCAGCGTGGGCAATTCTCTTCGCGCTGACGATGTGGAGCGCGGTTTGAGAGGAGCAGAAGATGAACTTCGACTTCATGAACAAGATCGTGGAGGAAAAGGAAAAGGGCATCCTCGAGCTCAAAACAGAGCCAACTTTTGGGTTGAACGTGATGGAGAATGGGGCCTGCTGACTATGGAGGACGAGGACTACTTCGAGGACTTCGAGAATGTGCACTGGGTTGGCCGTGACATTGCGGCCGTCTACAACACCTCCTCGACTCCAAGTGGCGCTTCATCTTCGAGGGGCCCTACATGGAATCACACAGGCTGGACGAAGTCTGAACCTGGACAAGAAGAAGGCTATTGGCATCAAGATGACTCTGGCGGCTTCACCTTTTGGGCTCTTCACAACGATGGGGAGTACTACCACGAGGATGCCGCTGGAACCTTTTGGACATGGGAAGACTACCAAGATGAAGCAGCTTGGTGGTCAGCGACTCCAGAACAACAGAAAGAACTTGCAGAAGCCTATGCTACCTACGAAGGAAAAGTCAGGTCCTTCGTTGAGTCGCGCAATTTGATGCGTGCGAAAAATGCGAGCCGTGGTTTTTACCCTCAAGGAAAAGCCAAAGGAAAGACCAAGTCCTTCGGCAAAGGAAAAGGGAAGCCTACGACTTCCTTGCCAAGTGCACCCTCCAATGTGTTTGAGGCGGCGCCCACTGGTGATGTCATGGCCGCTTCAAGTGGTTGCTTCATTTGTGGCAACAAATACCATGGTTTTCGTGAATGCCCGCAACGCGGCAATCAGAAAGGTGGCAAGGGCAAGTCTGGCAAGGTCTTTATGGTCTCCGAGGACACCTCATCGACCTCTGCAAGGCCAACTTCGATCTATGGTGATGCATGGATGGCTGAAGTCTCAGAACCTCACCTTCGAGGACATGCTGTGCTCGACACCGGTGCAACAGAGACGGTGACGAGTTTGGCTGCTTTGGAGGCCATCCATGCCCGGAGGACTGAGATTTTGGGTCACTCCGATCACATTGAAGTCATGCAGGGGCCGGGAAAAGTTTTTAGGTTTGGAAATGGGATGACACAAGCATCAGAAAGCTTCGTGAACATCAAGCAATTTGTAGGCAAACATGAGATAAAAATAGGAGCATACACGTTGGATGCAGCAGGAGTGCCACTGCTCATAGGGATTCGCACACTTGAGAGGCTAGGTGCAATCCTTGACACAAGGCAAGGGTTTCTTGTGTTGAAAGAGGTCGATCCGACCTTAGTGGTGCCACTGAAAAGGTCGCCAACAGGCCACCTGCTCCTTGACCTCTGTGCCAACTGGCTTGATGGAGGAGCGAAGATACTTTTCCAAACTGAAATACCTCGTCCGATGACTGAGCAAAAGTCGTTTGCAGTTTTTGAGTCGTTTGCCATTTTTGACATGTTTGCAGTTTTTGAAGATGACAAGGCCATTGAAGGTAACAAGGTTTTCAAGATGCAGTGCAGTTCATGTTCAACATCTACATCTCCACATTCGTGCGCATTATCTTCATCATCTACATGCACTACGACACACAGAGAAGCAGCAGTTGATCATGCAGTTGGATGTGATGTTTTTGTGGTTTTTGATGAAAAACATCTTCAAGAAGTTTCAGAAGATTCAGTTCAATTTCAGAACATGCAGCAGTTTCAAGAAACGGCTGAGAGCAGTGGATCAATTTCATCCTCGCAACCTTTGACAGAGGATCAAGATCGCGAGATGAGTCTTCGCATCATTGCCTTACTTGCCTCAACCTCCTCTCTCCTTGCTGTCAATGGCGTCGGTGCCTCCTCCCGAGAAAACCAAAGGTGCAGCCAAGTCCAAGCCGAAGAACAAGCTGCCCTGGGAGAGTCGCTACGACTCCAGCAGAACGACCGGGCCAGACACGAGGGATCCTCGATGTGCTGGGGCCCCTTGTATGGGCCAACACCAGGTGGCTCTTCCCGGTCGGGGTTCACCGACGGGGTCCAACGCCCACGGGTCGTGGGAAGGGTGTCAACGCTGCCTCCTTCGGTTGAGTTACACTCCCGCATACGGCAGCCATGCCTTATGTCGGAAAGCAGCACCCCTTCCGGCCGACACAGCTGCGATGATACAAGCTGTGGGGCCAAACAATGCGGGCTACAACGACAAGTTGAAGGACAAGAACATAGCTCTGGATGCGGCAGAAAAGTCAGCCCTCGACAAGGTGGAGAAGATCAGAGCTCAGAAGGCCGCTTTGGCCAAACAGACGACCCGAAAGCCGGACTACAAGGAGGAGACCAATTCGATGGGAACTGCAACAAGTTCTGCAACTCCTACAGTGGTGGTGGTCGACGAGATGAATGTCACTCCAGGGCGGAAATCCCGCAAACCAGAAGTACCAGCAGAGGACCTGGAGTACTGCGACCGCACCGAGAAGTCATGGAGCCGAGTGGAAGATGGGAGTCAGTCAAGCCCAACTCCCAGTCCGTGAAGGACGATGATGCAGAAGCTTCGAAGCGGCAACGGCGCGAGATGCAGAATGAGGACATCTCGATGGACTTCAATTTGAACACCCCTGACTATAAGGACACGGAGATGTTCCAGAATGACGTCATCCTTGACTATGACCTCGCTTTGGACAAGGAGGATGCCTGGATGACAGATGCCGTCTTCGACAAGCTTTGCCCTGCCGAGTACGAGATGCTCAACAACATGGTGGTTTTTCATCATGACGAGATGGAGGAATGCTTCAACCTCACGTCTGACCCCAACAAAAAGAACTCTCTGGATTTGATGGAGCTTTGCTGCGAACCCGACAGCATGCTTGCGGAGGTGATGAACAAAAGTGGTGGTCGAGCTGCCCGTGCAGGTCTTCACAATGGTTTTGACTTGATGACCGAGGAAGGCACTATGTTGGCCATCGACTTCGTCTACAAGCACAAGCCAAAGCTGCTTTGGGTTAGCTTGCCGTGTGGCCCAACTTCGGCCATACAAGCTCTCAATGAAAGAACTCCAGAAGGTTTGAAGAAAAGCAAAGAACGGATCCGGAAGTCCAGAAAGCTGACCAAGAATGGGATCCGTGTGATGGAAGCTCAAATCCTTGCTGGTGGAGAAGTTCTTCAGGAATGGCCTCGCTACAACCGAGCTTGGCGCTTCCCTGAGATTGTGGAATTTTGGGGCGCTCTACAACTGATAGAGCGACAAGAGGATGTGATGTTGGATGGATGCTGCTATGGACTTCAAGTTCCTGAAGGCTTTTTGAAGAAACCTTGGTGTCTTCGCAGCTCAAAACCTGGCATGTTTTCCAGCCTGGCCCAACAATGTGCTGGAAGGCATCAACATGTTCCGACTTTGGGACAGACCCGAACAAAGAAGTCTGCCCTCTACACCATCCGACTATGTCGTGCAGTATGTCAAGCTTATTTCCGAGCCCTACGTGATGGGACTGCCTTTGGAAACTTTGAGGTCAAGGTGGACCGTGAGAGCCTCAAGTCCATGACAGAACAGGAGCTTTCACACCTTGCTCAAAGTGTCCTGAAGCTTCACAAGCTTTGTGGTCACCCTAGCAATCGAGCTCTGGTGAAAACTTTGGCAGCCCGTGGAGCTGATGGAAAGACGCTTGCAGTAGCTGAGAAGTTGAATTGCCAAGAATGCCTTGAAGGCCAGATGGCAAAACCTACAGCAAAAGTTGCGCTTGAGAAGGAAGAGATCCTGTGGCGCACCCTCCAGATGGACACCTTCCTGTTCCGCTATGGAGACCAAGTTCATCATTTTCTGCTGATGTTGGATGAAGCCAGTGGATATGCGGTGACACGTGAATTTGCAGTTCATCATGAAGATGACCATCAGAACATCAGCACCGCCAAGACCCTGGAGATCCTTCAGCAAAATTGGTTTCAATACTTTGGTGCTCCAGAAAGAATTCGGTGTGATTTGGAGGGAGCTTTTCGTGGTGATCTTTTGGAATCTTTCTGCAAAGAACGCGGCATTGAGTTAGCCTTTTGTCCTGCTGAACATCATGAGTCAGTAGGAGATGTTGAACGCCGCGTGGGAGAACTGAAGAAAAAGATGACAGCTCATTTGAGGAGCGAAACAGAATCAACTCCTGGACAAGCAGCTGCGGAGATGTGTGGCGCTCACAACAGAGTTGCTCGTGTTGGTGGATTTTCACCGATGCAATGGGCTTTTGGAAGAGATGTGGATGATGGAAGTGGCAGCAACCTAGCTCTACTTTCTGCCCAAGGAGATCCGAGCTCTGAGATGTACAAGAACCTCCAAGCAAGACTTCGAGCTGAATCTCGTTACCGAGAACTCCAAGCCCAAGCTCGCATCTCACGTGCCCTCAACTCCAAGGTCCAGAAAAGCAACCAGTTTCTTCCTGGAGATTTGGTCTACTACAGAAGGTTCAAAACTCCTGCAGATACGCCTGCACATGCCTTGCTGGACACACCTTCAATGAAGGTATCTCGACGGTTTGGTCCTGGCAGAGTCCTTGCTGCTGAGACCAGAGTGGACGCTGAGACTGCAGCGAGATCGCCTGCCAATGTGATATGGATCATCACGCAAGGGCGACTGAAGAAGACCCACTCAAGCCAGCTTAGGCATGCAAGTGACAGAGAACGCTTGATCGCTGAAGCGACCAATGCCCCAACTCTACCATGGACATTTACGTCACTTGGCAGAACTTTGCAGAAGGGCGAGTACGAAGATCTCACCCGTGAACCTCCTCGACGAGGCCGACCTCCAGGAAGTTTGAACAAGCCAAAGACTCGCAGCAGGAGTCGTGGGAGAAAAGAGCAGAAAGAGAAGCACCAGCAACCAACCTCAACTGCAGCACAAGAAGTTCCTGTGCCCGATATGGGTGACTCTGACGAGGAACTGATTCCAGCTGAAGAAAGCGATGGTTACTCAGTTGGTACACCTGCAGAAGACCTTCCTGAACCTCCTGCAGAAGAAGCCATGCCAGAGCCAGTTGATGTTCAACGCTTGCTGGAAGATCCTCGATACTTCCCCATGCAGACCATTGAGGATGAAGAGTTGAAAAGGCGACGGACGGAATTTCTTCAAAACCGCCGTGCCCATGAGCAGTCAGAAAGACCTCTACATGTCAAAGTTCAACAAGCTGCTGCTCAACCTCTACCTCCTGAAGATCAAGCACAACCTTCCTCAATGTGGGTGACAGATGATGTGAAAGAAGATGACATCTTTGGCGTCATCATTGACATGCCAAAGGATGAGTCAGAATGGAAGAAAGTGCTGAAGAACCCCGCCAAGTTTGCAGCCAAGTCAGTTTCGAAAGGAGCTGAGGTGGCATGGAGCAAACTAAACCCTGAGCAGAAAAAGGCCATGGCGGAGGCAAAGCAGTTGGAGGTATCCCAATGGGTACAACAGAAAGTTTGCGAACGTTTCAAAGGTGTGATACCCCGCAATCGCCTGATGCGAACGCGGTGGGTTTTGGTTTTCAAAGCCGTTGATGGCGACGAGACCAAGGTCAAATGCAAGGCGAGAATCGTCTTACTTGGATATACAGATCCAGATCTATGTGATCTGGAGACAGCCGCCCCAACCTTGTCACGCCGGTCGAGACAGCTATGCCTCTCTTTGTCTACAGTGCGAAAATGGAAGGCGTACAAGGCAGACGCAAAGTCAGCGTTTTTGCAAGGCCGACCTACCCAAAAGCACCGGGACATTTTCATCACCCCTGTGGCCGAGCTGTCTGAAGCCATGGGCATGACGCCTGGTGAAGGTGCCAGAATGTTGAAGGCCGCTTACGGCCTAGTTTCAGCACCACGAGAGTGGTTTGGGGAGGTGGATGACGTAGCAGCCAACAAATGCCAGATGAATCGCCTTCGGACAGATCCTTGCGTGTGGATCAAGAAGGACTCTCAAACTGGCAAAACCATTGGCTACTTTGCAAGCCATGTGGACGATTTTCTGGTTTCTGGGCAGTGGAATCATCCCGAATGGATTCAGACCGTAGAGACCTTCAAGCAGGCCTTTGTCTGGAGTCCATGGGAAGAACAATCCTTTGCTCATTGCGGTATTTCACTGGAGCAAAATGCTGATTTCAGTTTTTCATTCAGTCATCATACCTATGTGGAGCAGATCAACCAGATCACGATCAATGACTCCGAGCCCGGCATCACCGCTGACGAGATGTCACAGGCGAGAGCCGTCTTGGGAGCCATCCAGTGGCGTGCCATCCAGAGCGGTCCACAGCACTCAGCCAAATTGTCATGGCTTCAAAGCGCCCTTCCTGGTGGAGCGAAAGATGTGCTACACCAGATCAACAAGCTTTGCAGAGAATGCCATGCCCAGCGCTTCCAATCCATTGCCATCAAAAACCTCGGAGTTCAGCGAGACGAAGACATTTCATTCGCCTGCTTCACTGACGCTGCCGTTGGCAATAGGCCAGATATGTCATCAACAGGTGGCTACATGATTGCCATGGTGGACGTTTCCTTTTTGAGGGGACAGAAAGGGGTAGCCAACCCCATTTCGTGGAGGAGTGGAAAGCTGGCGAGAGTGGCCAGATCTTCCCTCAGTGCCGAAATTCAGGCCCTTGGAGACGGAGAACAGGAGCTAATGTTTGTGAGGGCAGAATGGGCCGAACTCTTAGGCCATACGTTGGATCTACGCCGACCAGAGATGACCACCTCCAAGATCCATGCGGCAGTGATCATTGACGCAAAAAGCGTCTATGATGCTTTCTACAAAGGAGAAGGAGCCTCCAGTGCCTTCTCTCTCAAAGAAAAGTATGCAGCTCTTGAATTGATGGCTATTTCGGAAAATTTGAGGCGACAGAATACTGCTATGCTGTGGGTATCCTCGGACGCCCAGCTTGCCGATGGATTAACCAAATCCGCAGCTGCTGATGGACTATCTCATTTCCTTCAACGAGGCCAACAATGGGTAGTGAAATATGATCCGGAATTTGTAGCTGCGAAGCGAAAGAAGACACAACGTCTTCCATTAGCCGCAGAGGAATTTTCCAACGATTTCCAAGATCAGACATGGCAAGATCTGATCAAGCAACATGTTCCTACCACCTTTAGTGAAGATTTTTGGGGCATGTCATTGAATCAGCAACAGCATGGTGAGTTCACTTCCGGTGGTGTTACATGTCAGTCACTTAGCACGGCCGTGTGTGGCTTTTCATCCCAAGGGAACCCTTTGGCCAGTTTCCAAAAGGAAAACCAAGGCTACAGTCTTTTCTAGGCACTTAAGCCGGTGCCAACCCTGCGCTGTGCCATTGGCGGCACGACTACTTCGACTGCGTGGTGTCGAAAACAACTTGCTGGACATTTGCTACGTTTGAAACTTGTGCAACAGCTGGTGTGTCAGCAAACCCCCGAAGTTTTGGTGCTGCCAGTGTCTCAGCGACAACTTGGACCGGCGTGATTTATGAGTGAATTGTTATGGTTTATACAGTATACATGGTTTACACCAAAAATGTAGGGGTTGATCAAACAATAATGGCATTAATGAGGAAGAGGATGAACCACTATGAAATTTGGGTGGGCCACCCTATTTTCAGACAAAAAACCCTTGTATGAGCATGTCTATGGAGAATTTATGTGAATTTCTCATTGAGGATCATTTTGAGTGGAGGATTTAGTCTATGACGGATTGATAAGGCCACCGAGGATTGGCAAGTTTCCGCCTTTTCTTTTTTGACCCAGCTTTGGCTCGTGTTCATCAATGATGTCTTCGCGGCGTTGTGCTACCGCTAATTTGATTTAATTTGGAGTCATTATTCTATTCTACAAGTCCATGCAGTGAAAAAAGTGTTTTGAAATTCCCTATGAGCTGCAACAGCGACCACCAGGATTAGCCTTTTTGGATTTGTTTCCAAGGTATGCACCGTTGCATGATGGCTCCTTTGATGAAGAAAATGCCAACCTGGCAACTGGGCCAAGACCAAAGGGCCAAGCAAATGCCCGGTGTGTGCAGATGTATGGTGATATGGTACATTTGAACCTACAATTTGGGTCGTACTTTGTGTAAATGTGGCTGAATATGCCATACAATGCCATACATGAATATACATGAAGCATTTGCGAGATTCTTCAAAATCAGGAATGAGCTTCTACCAGTCTACCAGTCACAAACTTACTAGTAATTAAAAGGACTTCAGGCTTACAAACCCAGTTGAATTGGTAGGGGCCCATCATTGTGTTTCAGAACTCACAGCTGGTCTCAAATCAGGATTAGGATTGATTCATATTAACTTTATGAATTGCGTGCAGATCTGCAAGCGACATGGCCAGCCCTGTCTGAAGTTGTTGAGTTGGTGCTGTCAGATCTCCCTGTAAGATTAAACGACTCCTAATAGCAATCCAGGTATTTAATAACTATGGGGAGTACCTGGATTGAATCATTAAATATCTTAAAGCAATAACTATAGTTGGTGCTGTCAGATCCCCTAATCTAGGAGTTATTAATATTGGATCTATTCATACCTATTCATTTGGGGTCCCTGATTCACTGATCGGCAGTATTGAATATCATGGGGACAGGGATTGCTTCTCAGATTTGGTTTAAGGGAAAATCTATAGGACAACCATGGAAAAAATTATGAAAATCTGGTCGAAACCCTGCTTTCCTGAAGATGTTCCCTTAAATCCATAGAATTATCTATGATAATGTGTAACACCTATGGGTAGAGTATATAACGGAGGTGTATATGTGTATTTAAAATATATATATATATATATATATAATTATGTATATGTATATATGTATGTGTATTTATATATATATGTGTGTGTGTTTGTGTGTAAATGTAAATGCAAATGTCTACGTAAAATTACGTAAATGTAAATGCAAATGTAAATGTAAATGTAGTGTAATGTAGTTTAATAGCAATGCAATGCAATGTACGGTTTCCTACATTGGGTGTACCCCCGAAACAAGTGGTTTCAATACTAAAATGGTCTAATTTTGGATGACTCCGGGTAGCCCTTTTTTAGGAAAGCCACCCACACCGTCCTTCAGGACATCCTGCAGTTTACATCCGCCATTTTTGTGGCGGACGAGGCTGAAGAGTTCATCGTGAGTGTAATGCGTTTGGGACAGCTTGAGGGAGAAGTAAGGTGCCACTACCGGACCGAAGATGCTTGACATGGAATATATATATATATATGATGTATGTGTGTGAAATCTGTTATGTGAATAAACAAAAATAAATAAATGAATTTAAATAACATATATATATATATATTTATATGTATATATATACATAATGCACATATATTTAAAAAACAAACGCAATATATATATTGTATTTATATATACAGATCTATGATCAGTTGAGATTTGATATTTGGAATTTGGGAGTAAGTTCTGTCACTCAGGGAGCTGTTCTTTGTTTTCCCATGTTCTATATGTTTTCCCCCTGTTGCCGTGATGCGCAAAGAATCAAACTTTTGAACGACGTTTGTGTCATAATTGTGTTGCTGTCGTTGGAAGAGTAACTCTCGCAATGGTTGACTTTGCTGCTTCTTCCAGTCTAAGTTTTTGTTTAGCAGGTTGACAAGTACCTAATGCGAACTGCAATAGTCATCAAGATCTCAACTTTTGGCTCGTCAATGTTATTTCAAACGCACCGAGCTATATATAGTCATTTCAGGAAGGCTCGGGCAAAGCTGGAAACCGCTACGAACATGTGGAGGGCGATTTGATCTTTCCTTCCGGTGAGTTTGAGCGTTCCATTCGCATTCCTATCATCGAGTCACCGCTGTGGAGTGCCACCATGGAGTTCAAGGTGCTACTGGAACACCCCATTGGATGTCAGTTGCTTGGGCCAGCGCGCGATATCATAGCAAGTCTACATAAGTCTTCTGGGGTCCAATGAATTGCATGTTGATTTTTCGATATGGCTTGGATACGGCTCGTATATTTCTCTGAGAGGAAAAAATTCGAAGTCTAGTTGGTCAGTGGTGGTTCTTTTGCTGTTACCCCAACTAGAACAAGGACCTACCACTTGTACTTGGACGTTTCACCCCAGTACTGATGGGTAGGTACCCCATGGCCCCATGATAAACTCTTGTTAACAATCAAATCTAGTTGTTCATTGTACAATTTCTTCAATATTCAGGTTCCGGTGGTTTGAAATGCGTTCCAAACCGATCCCCATTGGCTTGATGTGGCTCAACCAACTCTGAGGTTGGGAAAGTACTTGAAGATCTGCCGGGTGAAGGTCATTGATCGAGATAGCTTCCCCTCCAGTTTCTATGCCCAGGAGATTGAAGAGGATGTGGAGAGCATCAACCAGACAGGTGAGCGGTGAAGAAAGCCTTGGTGGTTGATGGCGTTCGTTGTTGGATTATAAGTGGTTACAACATGATATGATGGTTGCCCTAGTTTAGAGGCTTACACATGAGTATGCTACATCCATCACCCATCATCCTGTATTTGGATCAGATTGGGACCCATGGGAACCCTGCTCCCAACACTGCTCAGGTCTTTTCATTGAATATGTGAAGCTGATACTGGAACAGCCTGGCAACACTTGGAGATTTCTCATCACCGTCATTTTCGATCAGCTGAAGAATATTTACGCTTCTGGGTGGCACCTCCTGGTTGAACGTACGAATGGTTTCGTTGTTGAATCTCATTTCGGGTGATATTTTTTTTTTTCCCGCCGTGATGCTCCTATAACTTATTATAATATATGTTCGATGATTTTCACGTTTTTTTGGTTGGGACAGGTATAGGGAAACCCCGCATCTATGCCTTTTCATCTCGCTTCAGCTTTGCGGATGTTTTGTTTACAAGAAACCCCGTTGGTTGGTTAGGTATCCCATATTATCCCATTATATGCCATATATATTTTTCCATATATGTTTTCACATGTAAAAAACACCGCCGAGGTTTGGTTTACGTTGAAGGCCTCTGTGTACATGGTCAACGTGGTCTTCGGCCACAGTGCAGACTCAGAAGACGAGCTGCTCATCCCGGAGGATCCCGCGAAGACGGCACAGGTTTTGGGTCTCATGCACCATGGCAACCGGTTGGAGTTTGATAAGTAAAGGATGGTGATGATAGTTATACCATTAATTATACCATGCTTATAAATGCTATTAAATGGTCATTGATGTATATTATACGCACGCATATATGAGCCACCGCAAAAACCCCGGCAATACTAAATATGTAATGGACGGACATTGGTTTTTGGAAATTGATGGAAATTAATAAAACCCCACGGTAAGCGATGGGACCTTCCCAAATTAGCGATACCCCTTTTCAAGGCTATGTCATTGTATTTCTCTAATATCCACATTAGCGATACCCAAATTGGACGTTGATTTCTGTGAATTATATACAAAAAAATGTAGCAGTTTCCTGCAAGCGATACCCCCCAAGTTTACCATATATCATTATTGTACAAACGTGTGGTAAGCGATGGGACCTTCCCAAATTTGTGGATGTCCTTTCCGTGAACCTAGGGTTTTCGAGATTGCTCATATATATATATATATAATTATTATACATATACATTTTTTACCGTCATATAATATATATATATACATGTATGCATGTATATATTCTGCACAGCTTGGAATATATAATCCTTACGATTATGGCCCATAATTCCTCCGATCCCATTGAGTGGGATGGACTCACTGCGGATTTTCTATGCAAAGCTTGGGTTGGCCAAGCATGACTCATGGCCGAGAAACGGATTGTGTATATTATATATACCGCATATGATATTATATGATTATAGGTTTTCATTGGTTGTCAGATAAAGATGATAAACATATCGATTTTCATATCAGAAACATGTTTGATTGTTGCCCCTCATGATGTGGGTCACTGGAGGAAATGTGGAGGCTTTGTTTTGTAGCTCAAGAGCAGAAACATGTTTCAACCCCCTCTGCGATTTGGACCCACCCTGCCCAGGTATGTGCTTTTGCCGCTGTTGCTTCACATTTGGAAGGCTGGTTGACGACAAAGCAAGTTCTAATGCGGAGGAACACATATCTTGGTCATGGACCCTTTTTTTCTCCTGCCTCCAGGTAGTGGTTCCGAATCGTGGCTTGCACCTCTCAAAATTCAGGTGATCACGGTTATCACATTTGCATTCTGGTTTGAACATGTTGTTTTCACCGTGGTTTCCAACCACTTCCCCTCAGTGTCGCCGGGTGAAGGTGACGAAGATGAAGCTGGATCTGAATGGCCGCTGCAAGCTCTATTTGCAGAGTTCAGCTCCTCGGCGATGGAAGATACGTGGAAGACATGGGATAATTTATGGAAAAGGTGTGGGAAACTATAGTAAAACTGTGGTAAACCTACTGTAATTATTTATGATAGGTCTTTATGAGCAACTACACAGTGTTGCTGGTTCAGAGGAAAGCGACGAAACTTTGTGCTGATAGATCCAGGCCAGATCTGAGGTGATGATTCCTATGTCGTTGGGAAATTTGGATAAGGAAGGCTAAATTGGATTGATTTTTTTATCATTCGAACCCTCATGTTTGCTTGAAAAACTCCAACAACTGCAATGTTCCTAATTCCCCAAAGTGCTGGATGTTGATGTTGCTATGTTATTCTCCGTGGGCCTTCCCGCCCAGGTCATGCGGAAGTACATGAACTTCAGCGAGGAGTCACGACTGGAAGTGACACAGCCAGAAGTGGTGTCCTTCGTGATGCAAAAATCGGAGCAGTTGGCGGGGTCCATCAGATGCTCGGCTGCTGGATACAGATAGGATATGGCACCATGGCGTTCCATGACTAGCGTGTTCGCATGGCCCCAAGAAAGGGGGTCTTACAAAAAAGATGCTGTAACTAACCATGATTTTTCGATGTCCCTCCAGTCCATCCCATTTTACCCAGAGACATCCACAGTTAGATCACCATTGCGAAGGTACCTGGAAAGAACACCGGCATTTCCCCCATGGGTCCTGCCGCCACGTGGCCTTCAGGCGAAGTGTCTTCGTTGCTGGAAACCTTGGGAAAGCTAGTGATGCTGAACTATTTTGTCGCTGGGCTAGTCCGGAGCTGTGAAATTCTGTCACAATGCAAGGGAAGCGAAAGATAAAACATGGGATGATTGTCAGTATATTGTGGAGGATGGGTTGCAGGAAAGCACCAATCAGAATACCTTTGGCCTGTTCAAGATCCTATAGCCTATGAGCCATCACAGTTTGTTGGGATTGACACCGATACCAAGGCCTAGCCCATCTGATGAAGTCTTAGGAGACAACTGATGGAGACAGGAAGGCGATCCGGAGTCAAAAAAAAATGCCATGTTTGCCAGCGATGTTCATGATTTTGATGCCCAGTTTTACCGGAAGCCAGATGGTTCCTGAAACGATTTTCTGATTTCCAGCCATTTTCCACCTATTTGTTTCACATTTTCCAAGGCAGTCTCCAGTAACCCCGCCATGACTTGGGCGGAGCCACGGCTGCACTTTCTATGGCTTAGTTTGGCTCAGTTTTTGCCATAAAATGCAGGTAACCTATGACGAACTGTAATATTTATCCAGCTACAAGATCCATCAAAATGCTACACATGGACTGTTCAGAACAGGATCCAAGATTTAAGACATCGGCGATGACATCGGTAAGATGTGTGTCAAAAGATGGGTTTGGAAGCAGAAAGCCATCCCCCAAAAAAATAGAACAATCTTACCCAAATAGCAGATAATATTGTATATTATCTATATATATATATATATATATGTATATAAGTAATCAAACTCCAATGTATTTGGTACCTGGGTTAAGTCGTCCCTCGGGAAAAGTCGTCCCTTTTTGGTGTGCTACTTGCGGGTTTGCATTCTGAAATGCTTTGTTCACAACATGACATCTTAGGCAACTTATTTTTTTCGCGGTGCGCGCAGGGTTTTCCTCTAGATGTGTTACATGCACCATTGGAAGTTTGGATGGCCAACAGGATTCTCATGCTGTTTGGCGAACGTTTGGCTCAGATGTCAACGAACGGAAGGCTGTTAAATGTTATCTCTCGTCTCAGACGTTTGTGCAAACAAGGAAAGGAAAGGAAAGGAAAGAAAGAATGCTTCAAAAAACAAAACAACAATCACTGAATGCAATTCTACTGAAAGAGTCATAATTAGGAGAGTAAACTCCGAGTGAACCTTCGAAATATTGGGGGTTCTATAAGTATCTATAAGTTCTATACATAAAAAAACATAAAAAATGTTGGCACCTTTGCACACACTGACACACACTTCCAGAATCTTCTCCAGGTCATCACCATGCCAGCCGTGATGATTTTGTGGTCACTGCTCAGGGATAGCCACTCGGCCCACCATAGTGAACAAAGTAGCTTAGATTTATGGAGGTTCATCCCCAAAAAACAATGTGAATCATAGGTTTTAAGATGGATGTTCACAAATATCATGTTTGTTTTTAACCATCCCCAAATGAGGAAAATGGTGGCACATGCAATAAGAAACTTAAAAAGAAAAACACTTGGGGATGGCTGAAATCCGGGATGTCATTGTTTGTCCACTATTGCTATGGAGTGGAGCAGAAAAGCGCACGCTCATGATCATTTGGTGACGATTCTTGACATGTCACAAAATCAAAAGGAAACCTTTGTGTTTGGTCCGGCGCGGTTCCTTTGATACCTCCCAAATTTACACCCTTTCTCGGCAGGGTATGGCAGGGTATGATTTTGATACCTCTCACCTCATAAAACTTTTTGGGTGAATGGGGTGTGGTTTCTTCTTGGCATTTACCACATGACTGTTCCTGCAGGGGGTAGAAATCCGTCGATCATACCGAGTGGTGGCGGCTTCTTTCCTCCAGCGACGTAGGTCCTAGAAGATTATTTTGGCAAACAAATCAATGACAAACATCCGATTTGAATCCCGTTCTATAGATGATATGTCCCTTCAAAAAAGATAAAAAAGGGAACGTTCCACTGAATTGATGTGAAACTCGTTGCAGCCAGATGCAGGTGGATATATTTGCGTGAAGCCTCCAGAGCCGTCCAAGAAACCCATCACCAACTTTGTTTCACAGATCGCTGAGCTTGAAGTTGAAGTGGTGGTTTCAATTCGTCAAAATGCTGAAATGGCAACAGGTTTAAGGATTTCTATATATCGATGAATTGAAACCACCAAGTGAAGTGTTTTTTTTCAAATTGATCTTTTGTAAACCTCTCATTTTTCTACAACATGCAACTAGTGCCGTTTCAATGCTTGATGTCCTCCGTTTGATCCAGGATTTGCGACAATTACACTATCATCGCGTACTATTTTCAACGGCCTGCCATGAACGAAAAGTTTGCTGCCCGTGCCACGAAATTCAACGATGATGGAATTCCGGAGGCGGTCTACAAAATGAACAGTGGCTTGGTGAAAATGGCAGGGGATGTTCTCAATTGTTATTTTGGAGTAACGACCTAACGTCGTGACCTCACTGGAATGATGGTTATCCCCTAGATGCGGTCCATCTCGCCATGGCCCTGGCGAAGTGTTCTTCAGTTTCTGGGTGACAGCTGGCTTCTTTTGGGTGGCTCACAAATCAAAGACTTCCGGATGACTTCTTTGACCCACTGCTGATGAATATGGTTGACATCCGACATCTGTTTGTTGAGATCCCCAGATCCTGTCCAGGTGAGTTCTTTTTCGATTGGCTCGCGCCTTTATTTGTGGGCCTTTACATCGCCTTCTACTCTCCACTGGTTCTGGCGAAAGAACTGCCACTGGGAACTTTCCTGGCAACCATCAGCGTTTTCAAAGAGGTTAGTTCCAATTTTGAAGATGGCTATGCTGGCCTGAAAAAGGCCTGTGGCCTGTGGGGTGGGTTCAAACAGCTACTGTATATATATATAATTATATACATATATATATATATTATTATATTATGTATATATATGACTATATAATTAAAATTAATTAAATATATATATATCTCTCTCTCTCACCGGCTATATGGTTGTCATGACAGTTGGGGACCACCAAAACCGAAGACATGGGAAGGCATCCCAATGTGGTCATGCGTCCAAAGTGACCAATGATGGGATGGCTGCAGCTTGCTGCAACATGTTCAACATGCTCACCCAAGAAATGCTGGTCCTATTATATACTAAATTTTATATTGTATTATATCACCTTTGTATTTACATTTATATTAACTATATTATATTGCATTTTTTTGATTAAGCAACCCTGCACAAGACAGAACAAGTACAGACAAAATGCAGTATGCAAATCAACACCCAAACAAAATCGCAGTAGATTACTCTTCTACAATTTTTGGAAGCCTACCATGCCAAAACATAGCTTCCATTTGTCAATTTTGTCATACCCACCCTGGATGGGCCCAGCGCAGGTCATTTCCTGCTTTGAACCCTTGGTTGACCTGACAGTCTTCCTGAACCGGCCTACAGATGTTCCGTTGCTGAAGCAATTTGTGGACATCCGTGTCTGGGTGGAGTTGAGCCCTCACAGTTGGTTAGTTATATATAATATGGTTATTTACTTTGACATGGATTGATTTGATGCTGACAGGCTAACTAAATAACATTTTTTCTGAGCCCATTGGAAGCCCATGTTTGCTATATAACATGATATATCTCACGTAAAGTTAAGGCGTTGCAGAGACGCACAAATGCCGGAAGAAGCTCATGGCACTGCCTATGGCCTTGGCAACGGAAGAAGCTGGCACTGTCAGAACTGATTTGATACCCATTCGTTTGGAAAACATTGGCCTGACTCTGACCCTCGACCAATGTTAGATATATCAGGAGGGAGCTAAGTATTGCAACATGTAAATAAATATATATATATATATACATTTACATACATGCACGCATGCATGCATACATACCTACCTACCTACGTACGTACGTACAAACATGCATACATACATACCTACCTACCTACCTACCCACGTACGTACATACGTACATACATGCATACATACATACATACCTACCTACGTACGTACGTACGTGCATACATACATACAGACATACATACATACCTACCTACGTGCGTACGTACATACATGCATACATACATACATACAGACATACATGCATACCTAGCTACGTACGTACGTACGTACATACATGCATACATACATACATACAGAATACAGACAGACAGACATACATACCTACGTACGTACGTACGTACATGCATACATACATACATACAGACAGACAGACATACATAGCTACCTATGTAGGTACGTACGTACGTACGTACGTACGTACGTACGTACGTACATGCATACATACATACAGACAGACAGACATACATACCTACCTACGTACGTACGTACGTACGTACATGCATGCATACATACATACATACAGACAGACAGACAGACACACACACACGCATATATATATATATATAATATTCATTGCTGAAGCCCATCCAGGTCAACGGTCAAAAAATGAATACGACGGGGTGGTTTCTATGCACAGTTGGCTTCAAAGAAATTACCCTTCGGCAATCTCACCTTGCAATAGAAAAGCATCTAAAATCATCAATTTTCAGTAGGAAAATCATGATTAAAAGATCAAAGATTGCGCATTTTTCCGGAGAGGATAGATTTCCCAGTAGATTCTACTGGTTTTGGGGTCGATTCCGGGCCTTCTGGATGGTGCCATGTCCCAGGAAGGGCAAAACAATTTTCCAAGACGTCAACCTCTCAGTCTCTCAAGGGAAGCTGGTGGCCCTCACTGGACCTGCTGGATCTGGGAAATCCAAACTTCTGAAGATGTTGGTTGGGGATGCATCACCCAGTAGCGGTCAGGCAACTCAGCCAAGAAAATGCCACAATGGAGCGATAGTATATATCTATATTAAACACCAAAAATGCTTTAGAAGATGCTATTTCATTGTTTGATTATGTAATGATTAAGGATATATGTAGTAATTATGTAATTTTGCTTTATACTGCTGAAGTTCATGAAACTCATGGTTTCAGGCTTCTGTTCCCAGGCAACTCGTGGTTATTTTGAGGCTTGCCAGTCAGCAGTGGTTGGGAATCCTAAGATTCCGCAGCAGGGTGGGGCCAGCTGCAGCGGCTGAGGTATTGATTCCTTCGCACCTGCGCTTTGTCTTGGTGACACATCAAGTCTTTGTAATGTCCAGCACCCCTTTGCAGAAACTCAGCTGATCATCCTGGTAAACCCGTTTTGGACTTCTTGGAGGAAAAACTTATGTCCAATTCTATGGATGTTATATAGATCCCATTTGTTGAATCAATTGTGTCCATGTAGTATCCCCGTTTGAACCGTTGCTATTTCACTTACATCACTTTGGCATTCCATTCCAAATCCCGATATCCCATTTGAGCATATTGAATTTATACCTATAGTTATAGCAATGCCACTAAATATCCACATCATTCCACATTAAGTTCCTCTTACCCTCTGGTAATTTAACATAGCTATGGAAAGATCCACCCATTTTTAATGGGTAAATCCAGTATAAATGGCTATTTTCAATAGCTATTTTGACATAACCAGAGGGTAAATCTCCCCCGTTACCCACCCATCCGTGCAGCGCAGAGGAACCTCTTCTTTGGCGATCCGGCCGCGCTGGGCATTGCAGAGGAACGGCATCGCATGCTGTGGATCCTGGAGAAGCTGCCGCTCGGCAAGCTCCGAGCGGAGCATCGGGGCAACGCTGAAAATATACCCTCTGGTTATGTCAACCATAGGAAAACCATAGGAAAATGGTGGTTTAATGGGATTTAATGGGATTTAATGGGATATAGCCTCTGGTTATGTCAAAATAGCTATTGAAAATGACCATAGAAATAGTGGATTTTCCCATTAAAAATGGGTGGATCTTTCCATAGCTATGTTAAATTACCAGAGGGTAGGGACTGTGCAACCACCAAAACTGGAGGTTTTAGTAACAACATCTTTGAAGATAGTGGTTTAAGATGGTTTAAGCAACAAGAATATGAATTACTCATCAAAGATGGGCTAAGCCAATAATTAGCATTAGTGTTGAACAAACACGCATAGGAGTGTGACCATGAAAATTAGGGTGGAAAGCGACACATCAGAGTTAGTTCAGTCATCGAAATTAAGGGTTTAACAAATAGGGGGTTCCTGTAAGCTCTCAACCAGCACATTTCAATCATGGCATTGTTTGTTGTGTGGTATTTTCCATGGTATTGTCGGGCTTGGTGCTTGACAAACAATACATGTTGGCTTAAAGCAGCAGCGGGAAGAAGACTTGTTTTTTTTCTTTGTGGATTTTCGGATTTTTGAGCTAGCCATGCTTGATTACCAAAGGGTAGCACCAACAATGATCTATTGATAATCTATTGACCATCCTTGTTGGTTATATGGTTATGCCCATTAATTAATTTTATATATATATACATATATCCATATATAACCATATATCCATAATTATATACATGATCAGATATGTGTACAGTGTAGACTATGTCACATGTAGCATATATGTTTGTATATGTGCTGCAGCCATTTTAGTGCTTTCAGCTACCTTCGAGCTGACTGAGTAAAAGGTGCTGATCAGTGCTCAGGAGTGTTCATCAGATTTAAGAGCCCAAATTCTCTGTTCATGGTAGCGGAGCTGAGGTTCTGATACCCAGCTGTGAATGTGTAGGTGTCAACGCCGAGCTGCATCAGCTCTGGCGCGCCTACCCAGTGCCAACTGGAAAAGGTTGACACTCAAGCTCCTGAAAATCAGGAAAATCCAAAGATACTTCCATAACCTTGGAGTGCATCTCCAAAGGTACCCAAGGGTTCTCTTGAATTAGGTCTCAAAGCACCTGAAGAACGACTAAGGATGGCTCAGCAACAGCAGCCACCTCAGCAACCAGGCACTCCACCAGCACCAGCACAAGGACAGACCAACGGTCCCAACATGTCCCAGATGGTTATGCAGATGATGGCCCAATTGACTCAGGGTCAGGCGCAGTTGAATCAGGCAATGACCGAGGCTATGAACCAGCAGCTACAGATCAACAGAAATGTTGAGAGGTCTGTTGAGTACAAAGACAGATCAGAGTTGAAAGGCATACCCAAACCTGATAAGTTCACTGGAGCATCAGGCACTTGGGATAGTTGGTGGTACAAGTTTAAGACATGGGTTGAAAGTTGCCACAAGAACGCTGTGAAGATTGTGGCACAAGTCGAGTCTCAGTGTGACAAAGAGATCACTGAGTCAAGTCTAGAAGTAGACTTTGATGAAGGCGCCGAGCTAGTTTCAGCTCAGGCTAGACAAGCCCTCATATCATTGACTGAGGGAGAAGCGTTGGAAATTGTCAAGAACACATCTCGTGGTAGCCACTTTGGCCTAGAAGCCATGAGACGACTGTTGTGCAAATATGATCCTCAAAATCCTCAAGCCAATTCAGCCTTGTTGAAAAAGGTTCTGCATCCAAGTCAATGCAGTCTTGATAAGCTTCGGGAAGGGCTTGAGAGTTGGGAGAACTTGAAAAGAAAGTACGAAGACAGGAGAAAGAAGCCACTTGAAGATGACATCTGCAGGAGTTGCTTGCAGCAGATGTGTCCCAACAAGTTGCAAGATCATTTGGACTTGCAGGCTTCGAGATTGACCACGTATGACCAGGTGAAAGCTGAAGTTTTGGCCTACCTTGAGAACGTCGAGACCAGGAAAGAAGCAAAGTCAGGAGCCGTTCCCATGGATGTGGATTCCCTTGCTAAGGGTAAGGGAAAAGGAAAACATGATAAAGGGAAAGGCAAAGGTAAGTCCAAAGGTAAAGACAAAGGAAAGAGTCAGTCTTCGTCTTGGTCAAACAATTCATACAACAAGTCTTGGAACAATCAGTCTTGGAACAATCAATCTTGGAATCAGCAGTCTTGGTCTAAACAGAATACCAATGACTCCAAGAGCAAAGGCAAAGGTAAGAAAGGTCAAGACAAAGGTAAAGGAAAAGGGGATCAAGGCAAAGGTCGTAAAGTTGCTAATGTTGAGTCTGACACTTGGGCTCAAGAGCAACAACCTGCAGCCTCATCTGGTGATCAACCTGAACCAGAGATCACTGCGCTGTTTGCCTTGGAAGACACTATGCCACCCAAGTCTGAAGCTCGAGATGAATCTTCTCGTCGTGGTCGAAGCCCAAGACGAGCAAACCTTCAAGCACCTTCAAGGAGCACTGTGACCAGGAGCGCTATCGTCATGGCTCAGAGCGCTTTGGCATCAGCTTCTGGGTCTAACAAGGAGCTGTTTGGCAAGATGATTGCTCAGGCTGAGAGCGCTGTCAAAGAAGCTCAGGACAAAGGGCGTCAAGCAAATCAAGCTCTTAAGGAACGCCAAGAAGCCCTGGACAAGTTAAAGAAAGAGGCAGCCCAGCATCACAAAGAGGCCAAAGAGGCAATGGCCAAAGTGAGGGCAGAAGGCCGTGCTGCTTCAGCACCGGCTGCACCCTCTCGTCGGATGCAAGCCGACCTTGATGCTGGAGTACATCCAAGAGCTGCCAAGAAGAAGGAGAAGGACAGGCAGAGAGCTGCCAGTCATCGAGCAGCCACTGCTGGACAAAGAGCATCCAGCTTCAAGCGCTATGAGTTGGCCACCTTTGGACAGGCCGACCCTGACAAGTGGGACAAGGATGACATGGGAGATCTTCCTGAACCTCCCAAAGCAAGAAAGCTGGAACCTAAGCGCCACAGAGGAGGACGTCATTGGTCTGACAGACGCAGAGCAGATGAAGCAAGGAAGAAGGCCAATAAGGAGAAGATGAAAGAGATGAGCAAGGATGAGATCCCACAATGGATCCATGACAAGTGTGAGATTTCCTCTGAGGAGAGCATTTCCTCTGAAGGATATGAGTTTGTCAGCAGACTTGAAAAGCTGAAAACCGATCCTGAAGTCCTCAGCAAGTTGGACAACGTCTTGAAGGAAGCCTACGAGAAAGCCTATGGTGAAGTTCTTGACCTAGGATCTTCTGATGAGACAGATCCAGACGATTTGCCCTACAACCAGGAGCCAGCACCAGGCATGGAGGATGTGGTCGAGCATTGGCAGAATTCCTTTCGAAGACCCATTCCATTCAAGGAGTTGCATGAGAAGTGCAAAACTGTCTCCAACAAAGGGTATCCCTATGTGAAGTGCCAGTCATGTGGAAAGGCACTCAACTCCATGAGCGTTGCAAGCTTTTGGCAACATGTGGAGAACAAGCAATGCTATCCTCAGTATGCCCTGGAGTTTTGGAAGAAAGAACATCGTCAGGTAAAGGCAGAGAGAGAGGCACGAGAAGAAGGAGAATCATCCCAGAAGCGCCCCATGGATGATGCAGAAGCCAAAGATGAGAAGAGGCGCCAAGAGATTGCCAAGGATGAAGAAAGGAAGAAGCGCAAGCAAAGCTTTGAGGAGCACTACGAGCGCTTCAGGCACAAGGGCAAAGATGAAGTGAAGCCCGAGGTGAAGAAGATCCCCAAGAGGCCAGGGGAGAAAGAGAAGGTCGAGGAGAAAGAGAAAGAAGAAAAGAAAGAAGAAGAAGAGGCACCCAGAGCACCCATCGAGCTGAAGTCCAAATCCCCATCGAGAGCGCCTGAGGACAGCCGGGCTGATTCAGCCCAGGCGTCCAAGGGCAGGGGAAAGTTCAGCATGGGCACCAAGAGATTCCTGGAGAAGACGGTGCGTGATGCAGCTAACTACATGGAAAGAAAAGCCAGGAAGAAGAGGGAGAAAACGCCATCTCCCAAGCCCAGGAAGCATTCACCAAGAGGAGGAGTTCGATCTGATTCCAACCTCGACTTCCTGGGAAGTTTGGCATCTCAGGTGGATACCATTGTCTGGGCCACCGTTGACTCAGGGGCAGCAACCAGTTGCCTACCCAAGGAATTGGCACAGTCATTGGAGTTGGCTATGACACCTGTGGATGAGAAGCCGTTCACCAACGCATCAGGGCAGCCAGTCCAGGTGCATGGGGTGTGCAACCCTATAGTGACCATGGGTGAGAAAGGAGGCCCACAAGTCAAAGGTGTGGGACAGTTCCGGGCAATGGATGTTGCAAAGCCATTGTTCTGTGTCCAAGCTGGTTGAGAAAGGCTGGACAGTAACCTTCGGCCCCAATGGATCGTTTCTGCAAAGGGGAGCCAAGAAGGTTCCAGTCACCATGACTGGAGGTGTTTTCAAGATAGCCATGGATTTTCATGGGCAGCCCACAGAAGGGTTGAAGGCGTAAGTCCTGTGGAGACCACAGAGAGCGCAGGTAGTGGAGATGATGAACCGGGCAGTAGTAAGCTAGGTTCTCAAGCGCTACCAACTGCAGCAGCGCCGACGCAGAGAGAAAAAGAAGAGCATTTTGTCAGCCATTATCCTTTTAGGAGTTGGTGTGAACATTGCATTCGAGGTAAGGCAAAGGCAATGAGACATGTCAAAGTAGATCATTCAGATGAAACAGTTCCTGTGATCTCAGCTGACTATTGTTTCATGAATTCAGTGGATGACACTGTCATCACAGAAGAAGTGCAGAAAAAGCATGCACCAGTTTTGATAGTACATGATCGATGGTCCAAGTTGACCTACGCACACGTTTTGCCATACAAGGGAGTTACCCAAGGTCCTATTGGATCTAAGTGTCTTTTGAATGACCTTAAGAAGTTTGGGTACCCCAAGATGGTCATGAGGTATGACCCAGAGCCTGCACTCAACTCCGTAGTTGAGGCAGCCAAGAATGGTTTTGACAAACAGTTGGTTTTGGAAAAAGTTCCCAAAGGAGTCTCAGAATCCAAAGGGGAAATTGAAAGAGCAGTTCAAGCTATTGAATCTCAATCCAGGACACTCAGAAGTGCCTTGGAGACAAGCTATGGAAGAAAGGTGCCAGACGACCACCCAGTTTTGACATGGTTGGTTGAACATGCTAGCACCACTTACAATTTGTTTCACAGATCATTGGAAGTCAAAGATGGGAAGACACCGTACTCTAGACACCGTGGTCGTGAGTGGAGAGTGTCATTACCACCATTTGGGGAAACAATTGAATTCCTCAAAAGAGGTCACAAGTTTGAACAAAGATGGCACCAAGGAGTTTTCTTGGGAGTCAAAGACAATACCACTGAGAAGATAGTGGGAAATGCATCAGGTGTTTTCACTGTGCAAAGCATTCGACGCAAGAGTGCTGACGACAGATATGATGCCGAAACTTTGATGTCAGTCACTGGGGTTCCCTGGGATCCTCAAGCATCAAAAAGAGATGATGTTTTGCTTCCTCAGATTGTTGGGGGAGATCAGCAGCCACTGGCGCCATCAGTGCCAGTTGAGCCACCAAAGAAGTCGACAAGACGACTTTACATCACCAAACGTGATTTGGACAAGTATGGCTACACCGCTGGTTGTGTCGCCTGTGATGCCACTAGAATTGGCAAAAGAGGCACTGGAGTTCATCACACTCCAGCCTGCAGAGAAAGGATGGAACGTCTGCTTCAAGCAGAAGAGGGCAACCTGAGAGTAGCCCAACATACGGCCAAGGTTGATTCTGAAATCACTGGTCAGAAACAAGAAGTGTCCGAAGAAGGCACAAAGATTCTTTATGGGTATTCAAGTGAGAAACCACAAGAAGTTCCTCACGGTTTTAAGGTGTTTGCGCGCCTTGACAAGAATGCAAGGTATCTCAAGGGTACTATGCCAGAAGGTCCCAGTTGGGATAATGTCTGGTGGAGAGTCACCAGAGATTTCAAAACAGGAAACATTATCAAGTCTGAACCAATGGATCCTAGTTTAGGAGATGAAGTCATCAACGCGCCTTTGATTGATGACGCAGATATCGTCACTGAACTGTGGTACTCAGCCACAGGGGAATCTGCTCCAAGTTTGCCAACAGCTGGACCTGCTATCGCGAGGCAGAGTCCTGCTACCGGACAAGCTGCAGATCCACCTGCAGAAAGCGCAAGCGCAAGCACAGCCTCAGCCAAGAGGGCAGGAGGCGAGCAAGAAGAAAGAGCACACAAAAGGTTGGAAATGTCTCCAACCAAAGGTCGGAAAAGACCTGCAGACTCAGGAGGCGAAACGTCAAAGTCCAAGGACAGCCGAGCTGCTTCAGCTCAGGCGTCTAAGGGCACCAAACGGCCACCTGAGAATGAGAGACCAGAAGACATGGATGACATAGACCAATGTCTTATGAACCTGATCATGGAAGATCGGGAGAAGTACCTTCAGTCCATTGAAGGTGAAGAAGAGCCAGTTTGTGAAGAGACAATTCCTCTTCCACCAGAACTGGAAGATGAAGCAGCCACATGGTATTATTACGATGATATCAGTGGAAAGATTTTAGACAGCAAAGGTGTAGAACAAGCCAGAAAAGATGAGGTCGAAATCATCGAAAGTTTTCCAGTTTGGGAAAAGATTCCCAGACACAAGATGCCCAAAGGGGTACGCACCATTGGAACACGATGGGTAGATGTCAACAAGCAGGATGAAGAGAATCCACTTTATAGAAGTAGGTTAGTAGCTCAAGAAGTCAAGAAGGGCTCAGGTTTTGATGAGTTCTTCGCAGCTATGCCCAGTTTGTCGGCTTTGAAGATGCTAGTTACAATAGCCGTCACGTTTCAGTTGCCAGACGCTGGAAAAGCTGTCAAGGAAGCCTATCGCAAGCGTAGACTTCTAGGATTTTTGGATGTGAAACGCGCCCACTTTTACTCAGATGCGACGCGTGAGATCTATGTGGAACTTCCTGCAGAAGCAAAGAAGCCTGGAGAAGATGTGGTAGGAAGATTGCTCAAGTCTTTGTATGGAACCAGAGACGCACCTCTCAACTGGGAGTTGCAAATACAGAAGGTTATGTTAGCCTTAGGTTTCAAGCAAGGAAAAAGCAATCCATGCATTTACTACCATGCAGGCCGAGACCTCAGAACTGTTGTACATGGAGATGATTTTACAACAGCCGGAACATTTGACAACATCAAATGGCTTCATGAAGAGCTGTCGAAGAAGTGGAAATGTGTGGAACGTGGTATTTTAGGACCACCAGGAACACATGGAAGGAGAATGGAATTTGGTGGGAACCAGATGCACGTCATGCAGAGTTGGTGATTGATTTACTCGGAGATGGTCCCCGAGGAGCCAAAGTCAAGACACCACTTGCCAAGGGTTCAGTGGAAGACCTCAAGAACGCCACTGTTTTTCTCAATGATGAAGAAGCAACCCAGTACAGATCAGTTGCAATGCGAGCAGCTTATTTGGCACAAGATCGACCAGATCTGCAAGTAGCGACAAGATCTTTAGCACAAGGGCTACAACGACCAACTACCAGCCACATGCTTATGCTCAAACGAGTTGCACGATACCTAAGGTATCGACCACGCATGGCACAATTCTTTCCTCATCAGAGCAAACTCAGTCCATTTGTGATGTGGTCTGATGCTGACCACGCTGGTTGCGTGAAGACGAGGAAGAGCGTGTCAGGAGGCGTCCTGATGGCCGGAGGTTGTTGTATCAAGACTTACTCTAAAGGACAAGGAGTAGTCAGTCTTTCGTCTGGAGAGAGTGAGTATTACGCTCTTGTGAGCGGTGCCAGCAATTTGCTGGGAGAAGTTTCAACCGCCAAAGACTGGGGTTTGCAACCCGAGAGTGAAGTTTTCATGGACGCAAGTGCAGGAATAGCAATGGGTTCTCGCAGAGGACTAGGCAAGGCCAAGCACGTGGATACTCAATACCATTGGGTGCAAGACCGCGTTGCCAAGCGCTATTTTCGGCTGAAGAAGGTCGACACTGGCGATATGCTTGCCGACGTCTTGACGAAACCTGTCATAGAAGAGAAAATGAATAAAGCCTTGCGAAATATGAATTTTCACTTTCTGGAAGGTGAGCACCACCTGACACTGAGAGCATAGATGGCTTGAGCGTGGCTATGAGTAGCTGTACATATCAAAACTCGCCTAGTTCAAATAATTGGACGGGAGCGCCGTTTTTAAATAGGCTCGGGAGGCGTGATCAGATATGTGTACAGTGTAGACTATGTCACATGTAGCATATATGTTTGTATATGTGCTGCAGCCATTTTAGTGCTTTCAGCTACCTTCGAGCTGACTGAGTAAAAGGTGCTGATCAGTGCTCAGGAGTGTTCATCAGATTTAAGAGCCCAAATTCTCTGTTCATATATCCATATATAACCATATATCCATAATTATATACATATGTATATATATATAAAATACATATCCCAATTCTGGACGTTTTCCGGGCCTCATTCTCTTTCCCATGCCATGCCCATCTGCGGGAACAGACAGGAAGATGAACAACACGCGGCAGCTGGCAGAATTGGAACTGAGTCTCCTGCAAGAGACTTGGTCCTCTCGGGATACCTAAATTTTAGGCAGCGCTGCTAGTGAAATCCTATCCAAAAATAGTGGTACCCTCTGGTTATTTGACGTAGCCATAGAAAATCATCATTATTAATAGGTAAACCATTGGTAAACCACCTATAAATGGGCAATTTTCCATGGCTATGTTAAATAACCAAATGGTAAATGGTGGTCAATGGCGGTAAATGATGCTCAATGATAATCAATGTGATGATAAATTATGATAGGTTTTACCTAAATTAGGGTCAATTATAGGCAGCCATCAATTTGTCGTTTCTTGTTTTAGTGGATGGGGTTCTGGCGACCGCGGGATAGCCTGGATGAGACTAAAATATTGGGGGTTATTCAAAACAATGGACTGATCTGGTTGGTGGTTTTGGAACATGGATTTTATGACTTTCCATATATTGGGAATAATCATCCCAATTGACTAATATTTTTCAGAGAGGTTGAAACCACCAACCAGTGATCCTTTGTTTGGGGAATGATTGTGTTTTGATATCTCTTGATTAATGATGGTGAAGTTGTTGACATGTTCCATCGAGCATGCCGAAACCTGTTGCTGCACTCAGCCAAACAATGGCTCAAGTCAGAAGTCCAGTGCCATCTGAGGAAACCGAGTGGGAGAATGAGGAGGAAGAGCATTGGGGATGTTGTCCTTTGGTTGCAGGACTGGGGATACTAAGCAACATACGGGCTGTACCTCAAAGCTTGGATCCTTTAGTAGTACCCTCGAGTAATCAAACGTGGTAATGGAAAATCTTCACTTTGATCCCAGCAGTACCGCACAAGGCGGTGGCGGAAGTTTCAAAAATAGGTTGGTTGTTGTGAATCACGGATGGCAGAGCGAATCCACTGATGGACTGAAAGGTGGTTGGAGTTGTTTGTTGGAATGGATGCAATGGTTGCAGTGGACCTCACCCAAAACTGCTGGATGTAGTGTGGTGTAGTGCAGCTGTAGTTGTAGTTGTAGTGTAGTGGAGATGTAGTTGTGGTGTAGTGTAATTAGTGTAGTGTAGTTGCAGTGCATTTGTGGTGGTGTAATTAATGAGTGTAGTGTAATGATGTGTAATGTAATGTAGGGTAGTGTAGTGTAGTCTAGTGTAGTGTAAAGTAGCGTAGTTGTAGCTGTAGTTGTAGTTAGTGTAGTTCACCAAGAAAATTCCATACCATGGATCGGTGAGGGTTTGGATCGGTAGGGTTTCCATGTTATATGTTTGAGATTTAAAAATGTTTTAAATGCTTAAATATGTCCAAAAATGATAAAAATGAATAAAAATGATAAAACATGTCCAAAAATGATAAAAATGAATAAAAATAATAAAACATGATAAGATATGATTTTAAACAATATATATGTAATAAAAGCAAAACATGTAGAATATACAGGATGATTACAACCCTTCAAAAAATAAAAACATTGCCTGACAACCCTTTACACAACTTGCATTGATACATGCACAAACGGGTTTGGTTGCACTTGGCATGATTAATCGACATGTAAAATACATATATGTTAACAGAAAAACATGTTATTGTTTACTAAAAACCACTTAGTTAAAACATGTTATTGACGATTGAAATCGACTGAACAAAAAATGTTTCAACCGTTCAAATTTATCATAGCAACTAACAAGGCCACTAACAACTGTTTGTCTGATGTAGTATGTGTTTATTATTCATTTTTGATTGTTCAGTGACCCATAGATAGATTGCAGGTTCATTGACTTGAGGGGGGGCAGGGCGTACCACTAAATTCAGACCATTGTAATTGTCATTTCGTAGTCATTTAGATTATTCCTTAAGTTTCTGTTGTCTGCTGTAGAAAAATTGTTGTCTGCTGTGGTCTTTTGTAGTCTGCTGTAATACCTGTGATGTTGACTTCCTGTTCATCGGCGTGGTCTATGTTGCATTAGTCTGCTCCTCAGATCAGAAGCTTTCACCCTTGTGTCATATATTGGATTTGCTGTACTGCTGTATTTAGATTTTGAAGTTTGTGTTTGATTGTTGTTGTTCGGAATTGTAGTTTTTGTTTGGTCTGATGTCTCTCCAGTTCCCTTTCCTCGGCTCAGGTGATGGAGGCGATGGTTGCGAAGTCATTGTCATCTAGTGGAAGGTGAAGTCTGGCATGTTTGCAGCTCTGAACGCCATCCATGCATTCACATTCACATTTTGTCTGTTGTCGTAATGTCAGTGTAAGTTTAAATCCAGTTTAGTAGTGACAATGTTGTTAGTTATTTTGACATTTCATTGCAACCACTGCCCGATTCGAATTGACAGCCCCTGGGATCAAATTTGTCAGTGCATACATCAGACATCATTTAACATTGGGCAGAAAGTTGTTCTCAAACATAGCTAGAAGTTGCAAACAATATCTTAACTTAGGTATGTAATATTTCTCAAACTATCTTGTCGGAATGACAAATGTCTAGCAATCGAATCATCACAGTCAATTGTCAATGTAGTCTGATGTAGTCTGATGTAGTCTGCTGTAAGCTGAACTCCTCAGACATTGCATGGCCTCGGTGGCAAAAGACCTTCTGCTGGAAGCTGATCCAGCAGGGTTCGAGGGGATCGATATCCTCAACCGGCTGCTTGGTTTGCAAGAAGCTTGGAAGTAAATTGAGATTGAGTGATTGGTTGATTGGTTGATTCATAGGTTGATTGACAGTAAAAATAGTCTTTCATGTGCCAGGATGTTGGCCATTGATGAATTAATTATGAGTCATTGTCTGGTGTCTGTCTGTTTTCTCTCTGAGGTCAGCTCTTCAAGTTCCTTGTCTGACATTAAAATTATTTCGATTCCAGTGTTCGATGGCTGCATTTTAAAGAACATTTCAATTTCATTGTGTAATCATATTTTCCCAACTGGCAAGAGCGAGGCCCTCTATTTGCTCTGGAAGGTTGACCAAGAATCAGCGAAGGAGTTGTGGATGCTCGCATGCAATGATTGACCCCTTGGACATGATTATCATTTTTCATTTAAAACATTTTAAATCTCAAATATATTTTAATATGGAAATTTCAAACCCTCACCGATGAATGGTCTTAACAACATCAATGATAATCACAAATGTGCACAACAGTTTTAACCTTATATTGAACATTGACTTGATCCCTCTCACCTCATTGAGTCAGGACTTTTGCGAGGAAAAACCCGAGGAGAAGCCCGAGCGGGTGGGTTCTGAAGACTGGCAAGACGAAGATTGAAAAGTCACTTGACTTGTGAAGATTTGTTGGTCATCAGCACATAACAAGTCTTTCTTGTCTGTTGTACATCTCTGTGGAAACATTGGAGTCATCATTCATGAGCCAATGGAGTCTGATGATTTGCTTGGGAAAGTATTTTAAGTCTTAGTCATTGATCAATGGGCTGAGTTTTTGATGTGGCTTCTTTTGGCTGCATTGCAGGCTCAATGTCCTCTTCGGATTCCCTGACTGGGAATATCAATGTGCAAGTGGCGGGGCAAGCAGCAGTCACTTGGTTTGAACACATGTCTGTTTTCTGTAAGTCTTCTGTATGCTGAACCAGTGATGGTGTTTTCTTATGTCAGGCTCTTGTATCAGAGGCAGTGACCTTTGGTTCAATTCTGAATGATGCAACTTTGTTTGGTGCTTGCAGTTGCACTGCTTCTGAGGTTCACGCTGGTAACCCTGGAGCTGTCTATGACCCTTACGTGGGGAGGTTTTTCAAATGGCCGGAGAAGGTCATCCTCCTTGGCATGAAAGGTGACTCTATGCACTGGTTCAACAGCCGGCAATTCACCAGGCTTGGCTTAAGCTATGTTCACCATAACCTCAACATGCTACTCCCAGTGAAGTACCTTGGTTTTTACAGTCTTTTGTCTTGTCAGTGAACTGAACTCTGAACTGAACATATGTTTTAATCCATTTTTGATTACTGTTCAATTTTGCCAATGCAATGCCCACCAGCTTGATCATCTGAGGCAGGCCAAAGGGAAGGGACCTCATAGCAAGATTGGCCGAGGGAGTGGCTTTCGTGCCCACATCCAGGAGGGAGCACCCCAGCTGCACCTGGCTAAAAATCAGTTCAATCAGTTCATTCAATTTGTGAGATTGGGATCTTGTCTTGCAAGGTTCAGTCAAATTAAATAGAAACTGATATAATGACATATGTGGGAAAGGGTCTTGGTTGCTCCTTTTTTGCCTGAGTTGGTGAAGCACCAGCATTTCATCGAGAGCTTCAAGGAGATCATCAGTGCACCGTCTGTTGTAGTCTCGTTTCTTTGTCTGCAATTCAGAGTTGAAATTTTCACATCGTCATAAACTTATTATTGCAATTAAAAATAAGATCAGTCGCCCTGATCAGGTTGACTTGTTCAGCTGCATGGCATCGGACTGCCTTTTGGATAGCCCTTCTGTGGGGGCTTCTTACTGTGGCTTGGATTGGAGTTGGGGCAGGTGGCATTTGTGATGATTGATTGATTGGCTGGTTGATTTCTCTCCAGAACCATCGGCAATTCACTGCATATTTCGAGTCAATCAATCAAATTTTGTGTGCTGCTGTTTGTATTTTGTCGGGATGAACAAGTTGGCCTGCCATCTCAATCTTGAAGTGAGGCCGCTGGGGTCGAAGTGCTATGCTCATTGGAGAGCATGTCCTACAGCTTTTGGGACCAAGACCAAAATTTGATGCTGGATTTCCTGATGTCATCAGTTACATGGAGTCTTGGTTTTGCATGAATGATGTCACATCGCATTTGTTTTTTGTCTTTAAATGGATTCTGAGAGAAATTAGATGTGTGTCTGTTGTCAGATATTGCAACCTGAAAAAATTGTGAAACCATTCGAGTCTAAGGACACAGGCGCATGGCATCCTTTTGGACCACTTGGGAATAGACACTCCATACTTCTTCTACGACATGGTGAATAACTGCTTGAGAATATGGCACAGGACCATTGAGGAATCTGAGGTGAAGCTTGTTTAGAATTGACAAAAAACAGAGTCATATTATTGACAGTGAAATTGATCTGGAATGCGAGTGTTGAAGTTTTTTTTGGATTGGCCCATGCCGAGGAGTGGGAAGGTGTTGCGTCTTCTGACTGGTCAGCTGGCAGTCACTGGTGGCACTAGTGTGACCGCTCCAGCGAAGAAAGTTCCTTTGTCTGATGGAGAAGTTTACATCGGAGAAGTCTATATTGACCAATGAATTAAATAGTTTTAAATAATCATTTCAAATAATAGATAATGAAATCAATAATTATTTAACTATTGCCTATTTTCAATGTAGACTAATTCAATCGTCATGCAGCACAACAAATTGAAATCGAAAATGGTCCCTCCTTCGATCAATAGCCTGAGGCCAGACCAAAAGGACCTTGCCGCCGTCCTCAAGCGGACGATGGTCCATGGAACTCTGGTCGCAACATCCTTGGTGACCCTCCAAATGATGAACCTCCAAGCCCACCGCCACCCCCACCGCCACCATACCCTCCACCTCCACGAAGCAGACGACAAGATGATGGTAGCCCTTCGGGTGTAGTAGTGGGTGCATCTGCCAAGTCCAAGAGTCGACCAGGCGGTCGTACTGTCGCATCTGCTGCTCAGAGTCCGGGACCATCTGCTGAGAGTCAGCCAGGTGCATCTGATGATGGCCCTTTGTCAAGCAACCCTCTGCAAGCGATGGCGCCAACCTTGAATCAGCTCGACAAGGTGGTGCCCCTTAGCTTAATCACTTAAACGACTAATCTGATTCAAACTTAATTTACACCAGACAACATGAGACATAAATCCAGTCTTGGGGCCACCATTAAAGTTTGACGTAAAATGTATTCCAAAAAAACTGGATGAAGTCATTGATTGAACTTGTTGTGTTGAATTTGAGAGCTTTCCGGGATCTGAGGAAAGAGATCCTGGACGATTGCCATGTGTCACTTAGCACAAAACTCCTGGCCTTGCAATTGGTGGAGAAGTTCGGCTACGAGGGGGAGATGCGGTTGCACAGACTGTTGAATCTAGGCTGAAAGTTGGCAAAATCCAAATAGTGTCTGCTGTAGTAGTTACTTTTTGAAGTGTCATTTGTTTGGGCGTCTTCTGTTGTACAAGTTTAGGAGAGTTGACTCTGGAATTCAGCAGTTGTCACTTGAGGACAAAAATGATCTTTATGCGAGATGTCAATGGGGCACCTGTGGGTGGCTGGTTGGAGTCGTCAATAAGTGTCTTGGCTTGAAAAGAATTGCACTGGCATCTGAGATAATTTAATTAGTTAGGCAGTCTGTGAATTTGTTTAAAATTTGTCTCTTCCAGTTGATCATGCATGACAACAAGGAGTGGAGTTTCCAGCCAGCAATGACTGACAACCACTTGATGTCTCCATGTGTCATCTCAGGTGGTGAATTCCCAGAGCTCCACAAACGAAAACGTGAACGGGAGAAATAGTCCCAACCAGTCTGGTGATGTCTGGTGTATGAAAAAAAGGGGCACAAGCGGCTGGGAAACTGTGTGTGATTTGATTAAGCTGACTGATTGGTTCTGAGGTTGAAGGTCTGATTGAACAAGCCCCTAGTTCTTTAGTCGTATTGTGATTGATTGTGATGCTGGGCAGTGTAGTCTACAGATGTTCTGATCACAAGTTTGTTTCTGTACAAGCGTCTATTGTCCCTTCATGGCAGGCCAATGCTATTGGATATTACATGGACTGGTGCTCAGTCGGGTCAAGACTTGCATTAGATTTGATGGCAGTTTTTTTCTCGGCCACTGGAAGTAACTGTGTGAATTTGAATGAATGACAAACATGAATGAAACTCAGTGTCTGTTTTGAACAGTTTGGTTTTCTCTGGTTTTTGGATCCTTGAGAGGTTAGTGAAGGATGACCACATCACAGCTCTATCCTAGCCATTGCTCAGGAGTTGACTCTTCGACTTTGGCATGGCAGCAAGCTCAAGATCAAATCAAAAGCTGTTGAGGGTCATTAATATTTAAAATTAAAAAAATATGGTCTTGAATTGTTTTGAGTTTTGAGTCTAGACTGAAACGACACAAGGAAATCAGTTTCAAGTGTCTTGCCAAAAAAGATTGTAAGTGACTCTAAGATACAAACTCCAACTGCTGAGGCTCCAAATTGGAACTGGTGTGTGAGCGGATGGCTCAGATTTGTTGATCGTCAATAGCTGAGCAGTCTTGTCAGCATCACTGTCGCTGCATTGGCAGTATAGTTTCTCTTTTAAGGTGTTGGCAGGCATCGGGAATCAGTCTGCTGTAGTTGTGTTCGTTGTGACACACCGACATTGGTCAATAAGTGCTTCTTAGATGTTACAAGTTAGATGATTATTTATATGATGTTGTCTGCTGTATTCGTTTGGACTTGTGCTGTACTTCTGAGTCATTTGTGTTGGCCTGATCACTCACTGAAGTGTCCTGCACGGCGCAGGCTTTTGCCACATGAGCTACGATGACAGGCGACAATGACAAGGACTGTTACTTCTGTTGATGATTGTGTTCGTTCATTCAATGTTTGCTGGATGCACTGACAGGGGTTTGGCACAGTTTGACTGTTGGCGAGTCCAGGTTGCCTTAATTTATGCTATGGGTTCAAGGTGTCTTTGCTGTCTGCTGTACGACTTGCATCATCTGCTGTACTGTCTTCATGGCGGGGCTTGCTGTCTCTAACGGCCTGACACCTGTGGCCGGGGCAATCAAGGGTCAAGAGCTGATGTCCAAGTACTTGGACTGGTTGTCCGATGAAGAGGCATTCGACCAGCTTCTCGGTTTAAATTGTTTTTAATGTTGTGATGAATCAAAATTTGTCTGTGCGGTTCATTCCTACTGAATTTAAAGTTCAGGACAAATGTCATGTCTTAGCCCAGGACCAGAAAGCTGCTTCGGATACTATCCCTGAAGATCCCATTCCCAGAGCCCTTTATCGAGTCTGCAGCTCAGGTTCAGTGGTTCATCCGAAAGAGTGTTATTGAATCCAGCACTGACATATCATCACTCTCATTAATATTGTAGCTCAAGTGTCAGGTATAGCAGCAATGTTGTCAGTTATGTTTTAATTCGATTGATTTGGCAGGATGGATGGCGGACGCAAAGTCACAATGGACGAGGTGCTCAAGCTGGGAGCCCACCCTGCCCTGAAGTGTGGGCCCTGGATTTCTTGGTCAATCAATGGTGAAAATAATCAGGTATGTCTGCTGTATGTCATATTAAGTCAATCATCACAAATCAGTGTGATTCAGCCAGCATTATTTGACTCTCATTGTATCCCATTGTCAGGTTCTGCTATTACGAAATGGAAAGGCACACGCAGAAATGGATGGCGCACTGCATGGCTGAGGGCAAGGACTTACATCAGACTTTGCATTTCTTAAACAAGGCTGGACTTACAACAGACACTGCACAGTGAATTTCGATGTGATGTTTTGCATTGGTTGTGAACAGGCAACTGGGTGTGAATGATTAATTAAATGTAATAAATAGGCACTACTAAACACACACGACATTGTTCATACACAACTTTTGACAAACAAAGTAAGAATCTGTGTATATTGTTGTCTTTGCTGTCTGTTGTCAGGAAGCTCCAGCCATCAGAATCTGCATCCCCATTGGCGGCCGGAACTATTCGGTGATTCCCAGCCTGAATGAAGACCAGGGATCAGAGCAGTACCAACAAAGAGACTTAGCAATTGAGTTTAGTGTTGACTTGAGTGTTGGCTTTGTTTGCGACACATTTGACAGTGTGACTTATTTAATTAGTATTGTGCAAGAGCATTGTCTTAGATTCGTTCAAGGAGGGCAGCAGATCGTCTGTGTGTTGAGTGGCCTTTTCTTCATCCCGATGGCGACCGCCAGACTCTGAGCGATGTCTGTTGTAATTGAATCATTGTGCCACTTTCGAATGAATGCCATGCCCAGTGATGTCTTGTGTCCTTTTATGTCAATGCCCTGCACTGCCTGCAGACAGTAGCTGCGAGCTTTGATGTGGAGGAGTTCACAGTCCTGCAGTGATTCGATGCAATCGTGCCGTGGCCAAAAAAGGCGTCAGTATTCTTCCTTCAGCTGACTGATATTGCGCAGTTGTGCAAGTTGTAGCCATGAAACCACATGAATGACACTGACTCACTAGTGGTGTTGGCAAAGTTCTTCTCAATCAACCATGTGCACTCTGTGATGGTGAAGGACTTCAACTTCACATGGCGGGCTGCAGTGGGCCTAGATTAGATAGAACACAGATCTCAGTCAATCTGTCAAATATAGTTTTGTATGTGTGATCACAGTCTGAATCTTTCTGACTGATGCCATTGCCATTGATTGATAGTTGAATTAGTAAAGGTTTTGATCGCTCCTAGGTCACTGCATTTGTGCTTGACTGTCAGCCCCTCAGGACGCAACAGAAGCAGCAACTCAATATTTTAATATAATTTAATAATAGTTTGTCAACTTTTGTCTGCTGTAATTGAATCATGGTATGCTTGTTGTTCATGATGGTGTGCACGGCCGGCCCCTAATAAGGCCTCAAATGCCGCCCTACTTCGCTAGTATAGCTAACAAGGCCAGCCACCTAGAACCAGCTGACTTGGTGAATTTCTTTGTGATGCTATTATTAGTTAGTGGGAATCAAACCACTGTCAGGATCAAAATGCCGATTTATTGATTTGCTTCAGACATGTCAGAATGATAATGTTTCAATTTACAAATTTCAAAGAGCTCATTCATGCTAAGCCGGTTTTGGCTCAATTAATTTTGCCAATTTTGACGTTTGTCTGATGTCGTCGATTGGGTCATGGATGACTGGTGATGCGCCGTCATGGTTATCTGGTTATCCAGTGCGGGACTTCGATTTGGCATCCAGCTCACAACCCATTGCCACAGCTGGGGCATCAGTAACGTCTTCTGATGAAACAGATGATGGACCTATTTGCTACATCTTCCTCTATGGCCGGTGGAACGCAATACAGAGAAAACACTTGACCATCATTGCTCAGAACCTCGAGGGGGAGGAGATACCGGAGTACATGCAATATTGATTAGTTAGTTCTTGTTGTAGTTGTAGTTATGATTCTAAATTAAATCGTGCCATCATCATCATAATATCAAAATTATATTGCTGATGTCTGTCTGCTGTATTTAGAGGAGATAATGTACTCCATTTATCTCCTCCTCCCTGGAATTGGAGAAAGCTTCTTGGAAAATCCATGTGAAGCCTCCACACATTTTTGTTGTTACAGCTGCCGCCAGTCCAGTCGACTCCGGAAAGCTTCTGGGGAAAATCCTCTTCCCCTGGAAATGGAGAAAGCTTCTTTTAAATCCATGTGAAGCCTCCACGGAATGTTTTGTCAGAGCTGCCGCCAGTCTAGGCGCCTCTGGGATTCAAGGTTACCTGGAATAGCTTAAAGCCAGAAAATCTCCAGAGCCTGTGTGTGCTTTTTCGTGAGCATCCACAATCAATCATTATCAACTCAGTGTGTCCACTAGTGTCACTGCATTCTCTCTAATCACCATGACTTTGTTTCAAATTGTCTTTGCCCAGGTCCTTTTGGAAGATGAGAGGCAACATACTCAGAGGCTGAACAGTTAATTATTATATTTTATATTATATATTGCAATTAATAATATTTGGTGTATTGTATCAAATAATACAACCGATACAAACATACAACATGGAAGCCCTACCGATCCAAACCCTCACCGATCCGTGGTATGGAATTGTTTTGATGAATTATGTTTTTTCCTATGCATGCCTATATAATGAATGAAGTGCTGTTGGAGTTGCATGTGGCTGGTTGAAGCAGCATCGCCAAGGCCATGGACTGCCCACGACTTGATGACTTTGAGGTGCATGAATCTTGGTTGAGTGGTCTGAACTGATTCACTGGCTGAATGTTATGCTTGGATTAGCATATAATCAATTTAAAGAAATGCATGCGCTAGTCCATTGTGCATTTACACAGTTGACTCTGTTGGCTTGGCCAGGTCTTGGGAAGGCATCCATCGTTGAAAGTGCTGCCCTCAGTCTGAGAGGCAAAAGATGTGTGACTGATGTCATGCACCTGAATGTCTGCTGCAACTGCTGTATTTGCAGCTGAAAGTGTGTCATGCACCTGACTGTCTGCTGTATTTGCACCTGAATATTGTTTTCTGTATCTGCTGCTGTTGTCAGCCCCAATCAGAAGACAGCTGACCAATGGACTAGCATGCATTTCGTTAAATTGATTATATGCTAATGCATTCCAGTATTGTTTGCAATGTTCTTGATGAACTTGACATGATCAAAAACTGTACTTGACTTCAAAGTGAGTAAAAGTGAATCACTGGTGAATTACGTCTCAGTCAGTGATTGGCTGTTTCATCCCATGTCGGTTGCGGCCGAGTCTGCTGTTGTCTTGGGTGGCTGTGCTGTGATGTCGTCTGATGTAAAGCAGATGCTTCCCTATGCTGACTACCCTCCAATTGACAGTAGCAAGACTCTGGTGAGGATCTCAAAGCGGCAGAGAGTTGTCAAGCAGTTGGTGATGCGATGTGTGTCCAACAACATTCCCATGCCAGACATTCTGGCCTACCTTGTCGTGGCTGTGAGAGACTGGGAAAGAGCTTCGATGAGCAAGAGAACATTTGAGAGGCTGATGCTGGACAGTCGCCGTGCCATTAAGGAGCAACTGGGAATGGGAGACTTCGAGGTGAACAACGATGCCGTGCCTGATCAGCCAGTGCCTGTTTTGTCCAGAGAATCTGAGTCTGGATAAATTCAGCTTCGCATGCTCATGTGAGGGTGCATGCTGTTTTAGTAATTAAGTGCAAGAATGAGAGACAGAGAACTCTTCTGACTTGTCTAGTCTAGAGTCTAGTGTTTGTATGTTTATTGTCGCTGTGTTAATAAGATTGATCAGCACAAAGGCAAGTAGATGGAAAAAGGCCAGCCAATGCATGCCAATTCACAGGAAAGGGAAGAACATTGACAAATGTTTTGCAAATGAAAGTTGCTTGGAATCCAAAGAAAAAACCTTGAAACACATAAAAAAAACAAAAAATAAAAATAAAAATTAAAAAAAACAAAAATATTAAAAAAAACTCAAGTCTTTAAATTTACTATTGCTCACAATCCTCAAAAAAAGTATCAGAAAAGTTCAAAAAAATCTCAAAAAATCTCAAAAAAGCTCAAAAAATCTCAAAAAATCTCAAAAAATCTCAAAAAATCTCAAGCCTTTAAATTTACTATTGCTAGGAAGCACCCCAAAAAGCTCAAAAAATATCAAAAAATCTCAAAAAATCTCAAAAAATCTCAAAATTTACTATTGCTAGGCAGCCCCCAAAAAGCTCAAAAAATCTCAAAAAATCTCAAAAAATCTCAAAAAATCTCAAACCTTTAAATTTACTATTGAAGGAAACCCCCCACAAAGCTCAAAAAATCTCAAACAATCTCAAAAAAAATCAAAAACACATGAAAAACAAATGAAAACATGTCTTGCTGACGCAGAAAACATGTTTCACTCAGTGTTGTAGTCTTGTGTAGCAGTCACTGGTGGCTTTGTGAGCATTGATTATCTTGTGAAATTCATGATCTTGCTGATGTATTTGCTTGTTCTCTCACAGTTTCACTCATTGATTGTCTTGTGTAGCAGTCGCTTGATTTTGCCTTATGATTTTGTTGATTGCCTTGTGAAAAGCATGTAACATATATATATATATATAAATATTTGCTGCAGTCGTTTGTCCTCTCACTGTCTCACTCTCTTGTCTGGTGTACCGCCTTCGAACTGTTTTGTTTGCAATGGTCGCCGTGTCCACCTTGAGAGCCAACAAGAAAGCCCGTGGAGCCAACCCAATGATGATGCTTCCACACATGATGCCGGGAATGATGAATGGCATGATGCCAGGAATGATGGGAGGGATGATGATGCCTCCGATGACGATGCCACACCATGGTGCCGAGGAATCAGATGAAGAGGAACAGGCTGTGCCACCTCTGGCAAAGGCTGCGCCTGCTGCAGTGTCTGGTGTCGGGTCGTCATCTGTTGTATCGTCGTCTGCTGCAATGTCTGCTGTAGTGGAGAATGACCCCACTGCCACTGCAGCCTTGGCAGCTCCCCAGGACTCAGGCCTCATCAGCAGGTCTGTGACCTATGTCCGGCAATTGCCCCGCAACCGCCTGGGGGAGACTTTGGAGACGCTTTCGGGGGCAGAGCTTGATGCGGCGGTCACGGCTGAGCTCACACAGGATGGCTTGCTGATGTTGCTTTGGCTCTTCTGCCGCATAAAGCCGTGTGTAAAAATCAGTGACCTCCGTTTCTTGGCAGAGTGGAGTTCAACTTTGTTGAGTTTTTGACTTGACAGTGTGAGTGTTAGAGCTGATTTATTTCCATGACTACAGCAGACATGATTCAGAATCAGCAACTTCGTCGTTAGTTAAAGTGTTGTGGGAAATCTAGATTGTGTTAGGTCAGAGTGTTAGTGATTGTGTTTGCTCTCACTCACTGTTGCTTATTTATTAGTGTATGTCAAGTCATCCAATGATGATTAATTGCCTCTGTTGTGTGAGTCAGCCTGCTGAGGTGTGACTACCTACAAAGAGTTCACTCAAAGGATGGTGTCCTCTCACCGCAGGATCAAGGATGCGGTCACTGCTGAAGTCTTCCAGGCCCAGGTGACCAACCGCTTTGGACTTGTTCTCACTGATGAGACTTTGCAGTCCATCGCTGGCGATATGGGATGGTCTGACT